TATGCTCACACACTCTGCCTTTTTTTTTTCCTCTCGTATTCTTCTTTTAGTTCTTTCAAAACTAAACCAACAATAAGAAAAGGAATTCCAGTAGTCAATCAAGTCAAGACTTAATCCAAATGAATTTAAATATTGTCACGGAATTTTTTTTTTTGACACTCAAACTTTAAGGGTTCCGAAACTATTGAAAATAAGCTTTTTTTGGCCCCAAAAATAAGGTCACCGGGCGAGCCCCGATAAGGATTGTAGGGCTCGAAAAGATCTTCGATTTGATATATTATACGTCCCGTAACGATCCCTGGATCAAAAGTTATAGCAGTTTTCGTGAGGTTGCTTCTTTTCCCGAATTTTTTTTTTCGACTTTGTAAAACCCTAGTTGAATTCGAATTCAGCAATAGGGTTTGGACTCAAACTCAAACAAGGAAGGAATGGTTAATCGTTTTCTCTGTTTTTTTTTTTTTTTATTTGAGAAAACCCTAACCCTAATGTGCGTTTTTGTTTTTTTGTTTTTTTTTTTTACTATGAAAAGAAAAAAAACGCAATTAAACAAGAAAAATGATAGCAAAACCTGACGATCCTAAGCTCTGATACCAACTGATACGAACCCCGCCAACAATGTGACGAAACCCGTAGCCAAATATGGGATACGATCCAAGATCTTCAAGAATTGATGTAAACCGCGACCCGTTGCTTAGCGAAGTAAGAACCTTAGTATGGTGAAGACGCCACAAACGAGTATGGAAATCCCGTTTGATAAGTCGGGTTGAACGCCACAAGGAAAACCTTGATAAGTTCGGAATAGTTCTTAAAGAACTCAAGAAGAATATCTCAAAGTGAATAAACATCAAAACTTTTTATTAATTTTCGTTTTCAGCCTTAAATAGCCGAATATAAGCTGAAAAAAGGTTTAAAAATTGAAAAGTCATATTCTATCCTTAATGAGATAGAAACCTGAAACAAGATAAACCCTAAAAACAAGATAAAATGCGCCTAAAGTTTATCCTAGGGAAGGAATCTGAATTTGACTCCAACTCCTTCCTTCTAAACGCCTAAAGATAATCTCTTAGGGAAGGAATCCGAATTTGAATCTAACTCCTTCCTTAAAAACGCCTATTATGCAATTTAAATGTTTAAATTGAAACTTAAACCTAAAAAGATAGAATTATGATAAAAGCAAAGTCTTTATTTAGAATTTGACTTGATCATTTGCTAGAAATTGCGCCTAACTTCTTGGAACTTGCTGGAATGTGCGCCTAACCCTTTGGAATATGCAAGTTGGCCATACAATGACTTGATGGACGTTTCAGGTTGATTGTCTTTCTTCCGGATTGACTTTAACGGCTATGTTCTCATCAGAGAGAGGGTGCCTGTTGATTGGGAATTCTGTTAGCAAACCTTGAGAGGAAGGAGAACCTTGAATTCACCATTGTTCTTGCTTTTCTTATGTTCTTATTTTCATGGCTGTAATTCCTCTATTCGGAGAGACAGAAGAGTGAATTAATAAAATGAACTTGACCCATTTTCAAGTATTTCTCTCTGAGTCTGTGTTCTGTTGTTAGTCTGTGAAGAGGGGTTCCTAACATTTTGCTATCAGAGCTTGACGATCCATGGGAGAAAACTCCGGTACGCAACCCCAGACGGAGGAGGTAGCACGGCTGGAACAGAGGATGGATTCATTTTACGAGGCGTTACAGATCATTGAAGCCTTGACCGAACTTCTGCCCAAGTTGCAGGAAGACGTGACAGAGATCGGCGCTCAACTGGATGACGTACAAGGGTCGGTACGGTGACTGGAGGCTATGCTCCACTGGCAGGTGGAGCTCCTCCAGAGGAATCCACCACCTCCTCCAAGATTTGAAGCGGTTCCACCAAGGATGCAGGATGGGCGGTGGTCGGTTCCACCCGTTCGGCCGGTTTCACCACCCCCAGTCCCGCGCAAGGAGGAAACCCGGCGTTTCGGGCACGAGTGCCAGCGGGAATCACCCCCGGCCCCAAGGGGACGAGCGTTGCACCGAGGACGGAAGTTAGAGTTGCCCATATTTAACGGCGAGGATCCTCAAGGATGGGTATTCCGGGCTGACAAGTATTTCGTCGTCAACAACGTAGAGGAGGATGAGCAAGTGGTGGCGGTGTCGGTGTGCATGGAGGGAAGAGCCTTGGGTTGGTTCCAATGGGCCGATGCCCAAGATCCGTTCGGATCATGGAGGGAATTACGGGCGGCGGTGTTGCGGAGATTTGGTCGGGGAAGAGAGGTCGATCCAGTGGAGCAACTCATGGCACTCCGGCAGCGCGGGACAGTGGCTGACTACCGGGACAAGTTTGAGGGAACGGCGGCCCAGATGAGGGTTGTGCTCGATGCCATCTTCAGAGGGTAACTTCATGGCCTTAGGGAGGATATTCGGGCTGAGTTGAAAATGCAAAGGCCCGTTAGCCTACACGATATGATGGATTTGGCCCAACAAGTAAAGGCTCGCAACGAAGCAGCAGAGAGAGTCAGGAGGTACCAGGCGGGCCGTGGGCTCAGGACGGATGCCTGGGAACGGGTTGGGGGCCCATTTCAGGGCACGAATCATACTCTGTCCTCACAGAAGAGCCCCCTTCGATCCAAGGGTCCGAATGAAGCGGTGGGAGTACATGGATTGCGAAGTGGGATGGGCGTAGGGCAGAGCTTAGCGGTAATGGGCGCTTCGACATCCCGCCGCCACACGGAGGAGGAAATCCAGCGACGAGCTCGGGGCTTGTGTTTCAAGTGCGACGAGAAGTTCAGCTCGGGCCACCGTTGCAAGAACCGGCAACTACAAGTGCTGATTTTGGCAGACACGGATGGGACATCCGAGGAGGAGGATGGCGCCGTTCAGGGGCAACCACTGGAGGAGGAGTTGGAAAAAGAAAGCCTGGACGACAAGGTGGATCTGTCCTTGAACTCCTTGTGCGGAATGTCGTCCTCCAACATGCTGAAGCTGCGAGGCAGAATTGGTGGCCGAGAGGTTGTGGTGCTGGTGGACAGTGGGGCTACTCACAGCTTCATCTCGGGAGCGGTAGCAACGGAGCTGAAATTACCGATGGACCCCACGGTAAGTCACAACATCTTAGTGGGCAATGGGCTCAATTTTAAACAGCGTGGGGTATGTAGGGCGGTTCAGGTGTGGATTCAGGGGCATAGGGTCGAGGAGGACTTTTTCCCCTTCGAATTAGGAGGGGCTGATATGGTGCTGGGGGTAACGTGGTTGAGCACTCTAGGGGAAGTGCGGGCCGACTGGTCTAAGTTCCTATTGAAATTTTGGGTTAGGCCAACTTGGGTAACTTGGCGAGGTGACCCAAGCCTATGCTATGCCCCGATGAAGCTGAGTTCCTTAGTGAGGACGTTGTTACCAGAAGGAGCCGGGGTGTTGGTGGAAGTGTGCAAACTCTCGGTGCAAGAAAGGGACAGTGGCGACAGGGAGGTGCCAGAAGAGGTGAGGTTAGTGGTGGGCGACTTTGAAAGCGTGTTCCAAAGTCCTACGGAGTTGCCTCCTCACAGGGAACGGGACCACCGAATTGTTCTGAGGGAGGGGGCCGATCCCCCGAATGTTCGGCCCTATCGATATCCGTAAGTACAGAAAGGGGAAATAGAGCGTTTGGTGACAGATATGTTGTCCTCGGGCATCATTCAGCCGAGCAGCAGCCCTTATTCAAGCCCGGTCATTCTGGTTAAAAAGGACGGCAGTTGGCAGTTCTGTGTAGAATACCGTGCGCTCAACCAAGTCACAATCCCGGATAAGTTTCCCATTCCGTTGATTGATGAGTTGCTGGATGAGCTACACAGGGCTCTAGTGTTTTCTAAACTGGATTTGCGAGCGGGCTATCACCAGATTCGGGCGCATGAAGCGGATGTGGAAAAGACGGCTTTCCGGACTCATGAGGGCCACTACGAGTTCCTCGTCATGCCCTTCGGGCTGACGAATGCTCCAGCCACCTTCCAAGCCCTCATGAATAGGATTTTTCGGCCTTACCTCAGGAAGTTCGTTCTTGTATTCTTTGATGATATTTTGGTGTACAGCCGTTCGTGGGAGGACCATCGCCAACACTTGGCCACTGTCTTTAGTGTCTTGCAGCGTGAGAAGTTGTTTGCTAATAAGAAGTGTAGTTTCGGGCAGCGTCAGTTAGAGTACCTAGGCCACCTAATTTCGGCGCAGGGGGTAGCAGCTAATCTTTCTAAGATTCAGGCTATCACGGCATGGCCCCCCCTACGAAACGCCCGAGAAGTATGCGAGTTCCTGGGGCTCACGGGATATTACAGGCGGTTTGTGAGGGGTTATGGCATCCTCGCAAGGCCCTTAACAAAGTTGCTTACAAAGAAGGGCTTTGGTTAGACCGACACTGCACATCACGCCTTTGAGGCACTGAAGGCCGCCATGACACAACTCCTGGTATTAGCAATGCCGGATTTCGCTAAAACCTTTTTGCTCGAAACAGACGCTTCCGGAGAAGGCTTAAGGGCGGTTCTGATGCAGGAGGACAGGTCTCTCGCGTTTTTCAGCAAGGCCCTCGCTCCTGCTTCCCGCGTAAAGTCTGTTTACGAAAGGGAGCTTATGGGGGTGGTGTTGGCAATTCAAAAATGGAGACACTACTTATTGGGGCGACATTTTGTAGTCCGAACTGATCAGCAAAGTTTGCGGTATCTCATGGGTCAACGCCAACTTCCTCCCGACCAGCTGCGGTGGGTGTATAAACTGTTCGGCTATGACTTTGAGTTACAATACAAGCTAGGAATGGCCAATAAGGTGGCTGACGCGCTATCAAGGCGGGGAGACTGGTCGGATGCTACTCTTTGCGCCTTCACCATGCCCTAGGATGGGGATTCGGAGGCCATCCGATTGGAGCCGCACACAGAGAGAGTAGGCCACAACCATTTCTAAGCTCGAAGACAGCGAGCTCATGGAAGGCTATTTGTTAAAAAATGGCCTATTGTTCTTTAAGAACCGACTAGTCTTGGTAGCAATTCTCCTTGCATTGCTTGGATGGTTCATGAGTTCCACGACTCAGTGATTGGGGGTCATTCCGGGTTCTTGCGTACTTACAAGCGGTTGTCCGCCGTAGTGCTCTGGCGAGGGATGAAGCGTTTCATTAGGGATTATGTGGCTCACTGCGAGATTTGCCAGCAGAATGAGTCTGAAGACCTTTCGCCAGTAGGCCTCTTGCAGCCTTTACCTATTCCGGACTTGGTTTGGGACGATGTATCCATGAATTTTGTTGGGGGCTTGCCTAAGTCTGGCGGGTTTGACACCATCTTGGTGGTCGTGGATCGTCTGTCGAAATACGCCCATTTTTGCCCACTGGCTCACCCATATGCGGCCAAACAAGTGGCTGCATTGTTTGTCTCGCACATTGTTAAGCTTCATGGGGTTCCACGCTCCATAGTAAGTGATAGGGACGCGATCTTTATGAGTGGATTTTGGCGCGAATTATTCAAATTGCAAGGCACTAAGTTGTATACCAGTTCCGCTTATCATCCGGAATCCGATGGACAAACAGAGGTTGTTAACTGCTGCTTAGAGGGTTATTTACGGTGCTTTGCTCCATCAAGCCATTGTATGGCCAACTTGCATATTCCAAAGGGTTAGGCGCACATTCCAGCAAGTTCCAAGAAGTTAGGCGCAATTTCCAGCAAAGGATCAAGTCAAATTCCAAATAAAGACTTTGCTTTTATCATAATTCTATCGTTTTAGGTTTAAGTTTCAATTTAAACATTTAAATTGCATAATAGGCGTTTTTAAGGAATGAGTTAGATTCAAACTCGGATTCCTTCCCTAAGAGATTATCTTTAGGCGTTTAGAAGGAAGGAGTTGGAGTCAAATTCGGATTCTTTCCTAAGGGATTAGGTTTTAGGCATGTTTTATCTTATCTTTAGGTCAAAATTCGGATTCTTTCCCTAGGATAAGCTTTAGGTGCATTTTATCTTGTTTTTAGGGTTTATCTTGTTTTAGGTTTCTATCTCATTAAGGATAGAATATGACTTTTCAATTTTTAAACTTTTTTTCAGCTCATATTTGGCTATTTAAGGCTGAAAACGAAAATTAATAAAAAGTTTTGATGTTTATTTACTTTGTGAGATATTCTTCTTGAGTTCTTGAAGAACTATTTCGAACTTATCAAGGTTTTCCTTGTGGCGTTCAACCCGACTTATCAAACGGGATTTCCATACTCGTTTGTGGCGTTTTCACCATACCAAGGTTCTTGCTTCGCTAAGCAACGGGTCGCGGTTTCCATCAATTCTTGAAAATCTTGGATCGTATCCCATATTTGGCTACGGGTTTCGTCACATTGTTGGCGGGGTTCGTATCACTCTCGTCCCCCCTCCTTCCCTAGATATGCTTCCCAGCTAACAAATTCCTAACCAACTTGCCACATCAGCTCTCCTTTCCCATATTTCCATTTCCTACCCCCTTGTCTTGTACAATTGCCCCACGCCCCTTCCTCCGAGAATAGACCAACGTAACAGGAGGCCTAACAGTACCCAAGTTGTCAATTTTGCTGGATAATCGTTTCCCATTTTAAAACATGTATCATCTCATGCATTTGCACATTTGACATTACTTGATTGGATGAGAAGTTTCTTTAGATAAAAAATTACAAGTACCCTTTTAGCCCCTTTTACCAAAAACTTTGAAATGTGCCGCCACTACAAATTTTTAGCTGTGATTTTGAATTTTTGTTTCATTATCTGTCATTTTCTTTATATAATACAACGTCATAGCAGTCAAACTTTAAAGATTTATATATTTCTGAGACGTATGGGGTAGCTTTGCAGTGCATATTATACTGATGATAGTCCTAATTTCTTCTTGAGAGTTAACTTGTATCTGACACTTTTGTTGATGATGTAACAGCTGTTGTAAGTTCAGAAGATGATGGTGAACAGTCCAAATACTCTGGTCTAACAAGCCAGCTCGTTCCAAATTTTGATGAGGTAAGTTTGCCGATAATCAGAATTCTTTGGTTGTAAAGGATAATCATTTCTTTATTTACACATGTATGTACTCTCATGAACATTGACATGCTTACATAGTCATGAATTTGAAACCTATAATTTAGTTGAATTTTATTTGTAGGTAGAATCTCTGCTCTCAACAATATGTGACACAACTTCAATTGCAGAATTTGAGATGAAAGTAAGCAGCAATGACTTTATCCTCTCTCTTTTCTCCCACCCCTCTCTTTTCTTGTTTTCTACAGTTTTCTCATCATAAACTCTTTCCTAAGTCTAACATTTCTCCATTTCAACTTATAATCAGCTCAGTGGATTCCGGTTGCACGTGAGGAGAAAATTGACCGAAGAAGTCAACACTTCACCACCCCCAAGTGCTGCCCCTACCAGTGCATATAATGTGATTGCTGAAAGCTCTGATTTGAATGGTTTTGTCTCTACACCATCTTTGGCTATAACTAAGTCAGAAACTTCTTCAAAGAATATTCAGACATTGGTAGATAGAGCTGCAGATGCAGGCTTGGTGATAATACGGTCTCCAAGGGTAATCAGCGCATATTCAATTGCTTTGATTGTTCTGTAAATTTTTGGTTCTAAAAGTGTAAATGTTGCAGGTGGGATTTTTTAGGAGATCTCGAACTATAAAGGGAAAGCGTGCTCCGCCTCCATGTAAAGAGGTATGCCTTTATTAAGGAATTTCTTTATTGCAAGGAAATGTTTCACATGATTACGAAATGCCAACCAAGAATTTCTTGTTAAAACAAGAGTGAAAAACACACACAAAGTGAAAATCTTTTGAGGATTATCATAGCATGAGTTCTTGCTCTGAATGTGGCTTTCCTGGTTATCATCCTTAACTAGATATGTCAACTCTTCATGTCATAATGTATGCATCTTTTTCTTACCCTTGTATTATTTATAACTATGTCTAACAGACCTTTTAGGAATCATATCTTTTAAGTATTCTAACTCATTTAGAACAACACGAAGTTACTTTTTACTAATAGTCAGTACGCCACACTTAACGACAAGGAGTATAGTAGTTTTTTCCGACCAATTTCAAGACTTTTTCACCACTGACCTACCGATCATGACACGATAGGAGGCACACTTCGAGTCTTAAAAATTGCAGTATAGGACTCCGGTCGAGTCAAATCCTAACACCTTTTGTATTATGGATTCAACAGAAGCAAGAAGTGAAGGAAGGCCAAGTGGTATGCTACATAGAACAGCTTGGTGGGGAACTCCCAATTGAGGTTTGAAACGTGCAATATTTCTCATCATTTCGAGCTATTCTTTCTCTTCTTCCTTCTATTTAGTAACATATGTATTTCTTTAATTATTTCTCTCTCAGTCTGATGTATCTGGCGAGGTAATCAAGATACTAAGAGAGGATGGCGGTAAGTTTGATCATATTTTCTCTTTCCCTCTTTTCTTGCTTCCTTAAATGTCCTCTAAAGTATGCTCTCTTTTCGCTTTGAGCAGATGCTGTTGGATATAATGATCCTCTCATCGCGATTCTCCCCTCATTTCCTGGGATAAAAAAGCTTCAGTAGATGATTTTCTTCTATCTTTTCATTATTGAAAGTTAAAAGAAAAAATAATGATAATAGTAAGAGAAATAAATGTGATTCATTTTTAAGTTTCGTTTGCTAATTTCTCCTGCTTTACTCTTTGGCAAGCACTCTTGTTGGCTCTTGGTATATATATATATATATATATATATTCCTTTTCACTGCAATTTGTTTTGGGATTTGAATTTTTTATTGAATTTGCACACAAATTCTGAATATCTCGTTTGAAATCATAATGTTTAATTATCGTGAACAAAATCTGGTTTGAACCGGTATTAGTGAGCTAATGTTCCATGCAGTTCCGTCTAAATACTTTGATGACAAGTCACAAAACTTCATTTAAATTGATGACACTTCTTTTTCAAATTTTCTTCTGAATGCCCTTTCAAGCAGATTATATGTTACTTAAGCATAAACAGTAAAGGTCAGAACCACTCCAACTAGATCATTTGTTGCTGTCATTTTGAAAATTACGCAAGACACTAATTTAACAAAATAAGGCCTCCTCCAGTCCAAGAAAAGCGAAAATATGTCACGTACCAAGAACCCATTAATCATCTTAGCTACTTAGCCAAAGGACGTCCATAGCACGCTAATTTTGAAATTTAACTTCCAACCCTTTTTTTAAAGAAGTCATCAATGATTGCATGATAAAGCATTTTAAGCCCCTATATAATTCTTTATTTTACACACAGCTTCACTACAAAGAACAGCAAATTTACAAAGAGAGCTAGAAAATGGAGGACATAGGCAGAAGCAGAGTAGTTGGGGTTGTGATTATGGCATTAACGAACATGTTGTTCGTAGGACCACATTTAGTCCAAGCTTCTATGCCTCCAACTTCCCTTCCCTTTTCTCCTTTTTTCGATCATAATATGCGAAAACCCTGCAACTTTATCTGCAGAACAGGTTGCCTTGATTAGATAGGAATACAGCCGGTGTACTTGAATTGTAAACTAACATGTGCCGAATGGGTTTGTTTTTCTACAAAGTTAGGTGGTATAGACACTCATCAAAGTGCAACGTCCATAAGCACCGACCCAAACCAGAGTGTTTCTGTTTCTTCAGGAAAAGAAAGACTTGTTTTTCATTGCCTTGCGACTGCCGGTGCAGCTTGCCTTCAATTTTCAGGAAAGCCCTCCACATTTGCGGATTGTGTTTCTTTTTCTGCAACACTATGCAATGAATCTCATTCATAATACCACTGCCGTATCCAGTGTGCCAAGTCCATTGGCACTAAATCTGTATCTCGCACGATTTTTTTTTTTTTTCCAAGAGTATCTCGTATGACTTCATGTCCCAACTCTTTCACCAGACAGCAAGCCTTTTTTATAAGCATTTAGATTTTAAGTTTTTTCAAGGTTCTAAGTCCAACCGTTTAATTATTTAGATAGCATCAACTACAGATACAACGAGGAGAGTTTATTTTATTTTATTTTTTCAATGAAACCCAATAAGATTCTCATACGAGAAGCAGCCGGCCCTAGTAAAAACACACAGAGAGAGGGAAAAAAAGAGGGAGGAGCTATCATGGTCAGAGGCTCAGCACAAGCTCGTCATCGGATGCTCAGTTTTGGGCGGGGTTCATGCCATTTGCGAAGGAGGAACGGTTGCTAGATTGAATCTAAAATAGAGTTAGAATCGTCATCGGAGAAGTTCTCTCCAGCTGTCATCTTTCTGCATGGGTCCTTATCTTGTATAAAGTTTATCTTTTGAAAAATAAGTCAAAAGTAGAATAGTGTGCCAGCCAGTTTATCAAAAGTAGTTTTTATCTTTTGTAATATAAATCAAAAGTTGAATAGTGTGAATCTTATCGTATCAGATAAGATTGAAATCTTGTAAGCCCAGCCTCAGCTATATAAGGCGAGGCATTTCTCTTGTAAAGGCAGAAGTCCTCGAACTAGAGAACTTTGTAAAAAAGTTTGCTCAGAAATAATATCATGAGTTTCTAAATTCTTGTTCTTTCTCTCTGAAATTCTGAGTTCCTTCCTTTATATCATAATCGTTCTCCTCGTAACTAGTATGCTATGTGCTTGCCTCTAATAGAGGATCTTACACATCAGAAAGTTTAAGCCTAAGATCCTTCCTACGATCTCCATGACCATAAATGCTTAAGTACCTGTAACACTAAGCCAAAAGTCATGATGGACGCAGTGGCTATACAGTGATACATATGCCGATTATCACCTTTGTGTGTTTACCAACCACTTGTCTTTTATATCGTTTTATTGCTCTCTTTGGTGTTTTGATGTTCTAGCTTGTGAATTTTTCCTTTTTCATTTGTAATAATTCTTACCCTGATTAGTTTAGGCTATTGTTTTTTCGTCTGTAAGATACGTTTCTTTGCAGTTTTTGTCTAGCCTTTGTGCTATAAGCTTCTCGACATCGGTGATTGGATTGTTTCCATCGGCTCCATGTGTGCGCTCGATTTTTTGTGTATCTCTCTGGACGATTTCCACTATTTTCCCTTCATTCGAATTTATTGATGGATCCGGTTATTTGTGGTGCCGTGTTATATATAGTAAAGGCTATGTGTATAGATTGGTGTTTGTAATGCCTTTTCATATTTTAGAATATATTATTCATTTAAAAAAAAAATTCTCATACTTGACTTGAGAATGCAATGGGGTGAGTTTGGGTCAAATGCAAAAGCATTTTGTTAAGGGAGCATAAGTTCCTTTCAACTAATTAACGACGGGATTCTTATGGCTCCTTTTAATGTGGCAGCGGCACAGAACGTCCAAGACCATGTGGGGAAGAGCTATGGAAAATGCAAGAATAACTAGTAGTTACTACTGAATAAGAGAAGACGTGTTAGATTTGTTTTGCGAACGAATTAAAAATGTAGCAACTCACAAAAACTGCTAATGAATATGGGATTAATGAAGAGTTCGAATTTCATCAAGAAGTACAACACAAGGATTTCTATGCTTAAATGTCGAGTAGACCAATTAGCTACTCTTTTCAATATGATCCTTAACAGAATTGTTTCTTACAACAACTCTCAATCGAATACAAGAAAAAGTTTTCATTACAAATGTTCCACTAACTTCAGAATAGCAAAACAAAATGAAATTTTACACCACAACCAAAGTTCCTACAAGTAAATTTGAATGCTAAACTGTACATCTTTATGCAGCTTTCTCGGCAGATTGAGCCCACTTGATAGTTGACCAGGCCAATGCATCCATGGGGTCAACACATTTCTTAAGAAGAGGATCATCCCGAGGCAAAAGATCCCTCATATCCTCCGAGGCAAGAATCACAGAATTAACAGCCCTCACCAGAAGAACTTGGACCGCAATTCTTAACAAAGTCCGAGCTCCTTCTGTGTCGTTTCTACTTATGGCATCAATAGCAGGAATTACAGCATGTTCCATGGTTGCTTTATCTGGAAGCACAACCTCAAATCCCTGCAAGTATAGTCATTATTACCATCTTTATTATTATAGAGCCTTAAGCTAGTTAAGTACGTGATTGGGAGCTGTTGTGTGGAAAAATGTGACGGACACCTGGACGAACGATAAAGCGACACGTGAAATCACCGTCAACAGGAACAATGTTGACGATATGGAGTTTCAGTGTAATTTCATTTTTCTCTGTCCTAGGCTAGTTGAGAATATCTGCTACAATTTATTGTTCTAGACCATGCTTTAAAGAAAATAAATGGCAGATAATGGATACACATTAATTGACCTCATTCTGCAGTTTTTCCTGATAAAATCCCGCGTTCAACGTTGTGCTGGTTGCAAGTACACCGATCCGCAGAGGACTTCCAGCTTCAAGTGGCTTCAACTTGGCTTCCTTGAGCTGCCTTGCGATGCACTCTCCCATGTGCAAGAAGGGAACAGCAGACCCCTTAAAAACTTCTTCATGCCAAGAATGCGACACATGACATGGCATCACTATGCAACGAGCTCCTGAATTTTCCAGGAAAGTCCTTTTACTTCTCAGACTCTCCACGATGGGTGTAGAATCTAACTGGGCATGCTTGTCTTTGCCACTACTAAGAGAAGGCAAAGAACTCCTCTCGTGTAACAGAAGCTCCTTACTCAACACGGGATCAGAGCAAAGCACAAAAGGAACAGTATTTTCGTCTTTCGAACCCCATTGCACTAGCTTTCTCAAGAATTTCAGCGTAGAATTCACTGACACCCCTCCAATTATGCCGACTGTGTTTTCCAGATTAATAGCACAATCACCAGTTGTAGAAGCTGTATTTGAACCAGAACCTTCGTTGGATTCAGAAAATTTCCCGCTTTCATCTGTGTGCAAGAGATATGAAAATGGGGGTGTAGCTAGAACACGATTTGATTGTGATCTTGTCTTAGGAAGGGCTCTATGCGTGTTTACATAGCCCAAGTTGTGGGATGGATAGCTCGAAGTGTGGAAAGGCATTATCAGACAACCACCAAACATCTACAAGGCAAAAACCAAAGAGTTGAAGTAATCCAATGAAACGATTTGGGTTTTTGAGCTTTACAGAAAATATCATTGAAATCTTATAATAGATCATTTTGCTATATCGATCTTGGTACTTCTACATGAAATTTTCGTCTTTAATAAAAGAAAATAAAAAGAAGACCTATGAAACCCAATTCTTGATAAACCCCATTAAAGAAACCCAGCTTCAGAAACAAGTATACGTCCGAAAACTCCGATCAAGTGTCTCAGAAGCCCAAAATTGCTACTTGGGTTTAGAAAATGCAAGCTAAAAACAAAACCCACTTCAATTAATCAGAATTTAATTAAGCTCAAATAGACAATCAACGGGTCTTAGTCCTAGTCTTACTAGCAAATCCTTAGAAGTGGAGAACCAAACTCTAAAACCCAGAAACCTCCATAACTTTCTCTACAAACCAAAGCTTAAAACTAGAGCCCATGACTAATATCAAGAGTTCACTAGATTGCATACAAAGTAGAGAAAAAAAAAGTAAAAGAAGCTCGCAGAACTCACTTGATGGTCGTAGTTATGGCCGAGAAAAGTGACAGAAAATCATTCACCAAGATGGACGGAGAGGCAAGAGTCAAGGGCGTGCAAGCGTGAGGAATCAAAAAGGCTCCACAAGTAAACTACCAGACAAAACGGAATCGCTGAATATGAAGTTTCGCCTTTCAGAAAGAAATGAAAGAACTCAAAGAAGAAGAGGAAAGAAATGAATGAACTTGGAAAAGAAGAAATTTCCGTCACTGTGAACTGAAAATGGAAATAGCTCTAAATTGTAATTAAGTATGCAGAGCCTTAAATATTATATGTTAACAACTAATCAGCACTAACTAATTACACGCCTAACTATTTGAAGCTGACACGTGTCACAAGCCCCAATTAATCACAAAAACTAACTATTAACTACTTAACTTCAAGCAAAAAAAAAAAAAAAAAAAACACTATTAACTACTAAACAGCAGATAACAAACTTTAGTAGTTAAACGGCATGTATATTAAATCTAACACTGAAAGGGAGCGGAAGTTACAAATGCTCAACCAACTTTTCTTTATTAAAAAAAATAATTAAAAAAGAGAGAGAGAAAGAGAGAAACAACTTTCGTGTTTGCAAGAATCGGAATTTGCTTTGGATCTTGTTTTGTGAGTTGTGACCCTAACTTCAATGGATTTTAATCTTTTTAAATATACTAACTACCAGTATTTGTACTTTAATAAATCATTTTGAGCAGTAATGTATGCCCTTTGTTTTATTTTTGTTGAGAAGAATTCTTTAGTTAGTTACCCCAAAAAAAAGAAAAAAAATTCCGTGTGTCGAGCAGTAATGTATCCTCTTGGTCTAGTGGCATTGGGGGGTTTGAGTGAGGTGGGGTTTAGGTAGGGTTGTTGAGAAGAATTCTTTAGTTAGTTACCCCAAAAAAAAGAAAAAAAATTCCGTGTGTCGAGCAGTAATGTATCCTCTTGGTCTAGTGGCATTGGGGGGTTTGAGTGAGGTGGGGTTTAGGTAGGGAATTGGGAATTCGATTCAATGTTGTATTAAAAAAAAAAAAAAAAAAAAACTACCAATGACGTGTAATTTTAAACCTGATAATCCTTATTAAATAGGGAGTTAAATCACTCATTACTCCTTTTTTCTTTAAATGGTTATTTTCCTAATTAATAGAACTTGGCAAAAAGACCATTTCCCCACCAATCCAACAAATACCCTTTACAACAAGTCTGTTTATAGGTGAATACTAATTTAGATTAATCGTCCCTCAAGTGGATAAACAATTTATGCAAAAGAGTGTAGAGTTGATTGCATCACAAGGTTAAAAGAAAATCACATTTGCCTAATTTTAATTCCTTACTTCTGCTCAAACAGTGCATCAGGGACCTTTAAGAGTTTGGTTTCCATTTTTGCAGAAGTCAAAATGCATATCATTGTGTTTTGCCACCACACACAAACATATGGATAGTCGTTACGAGCACAATTTAATTTTGATAAGAAGAAAGACATTGTTTTAAGGCCCCATGACTTTTACCTCACACTCGTGAGGAGTGCTTTAAAGAATAGCCAAGTACAAAATACAAGAAAATTACGTATCAAAATATTTCCAAGTTTCTAGCTAGGAAGTAGGTAAATACTAGTCCTAGAGTGAACTTATCAACATACATCATGAATCATCAGTCTAAACTACTACTAGTATGATCCCTTAGAAACAAGAAATGATAAAATGAGGAGGGTCATCATTAGACATGTTAGAAAATTTGGCTGCCTCATATTATACGAGTTTCGCTTTCGGAACCTGTCGACCTCTGCAGCTACGAAATATCCTCCTTACATCCCTTCTCACAGACAAGAAGGCGGAAACCAGGGCAATGGACATTGCAGGGTAAATACATACAGCTTTCCCAGTATAGTTGTCAACTGATTTGGCAATAATGAGTTCCCTAGAAAGGCCCCATATGATCAATAGTGTTCCAATGAGGCTTATTCTCCCTGGTTTTATGAGACACACAAATGCTCCGGCCACCGACAAATAACTTCCAGCAAGCACCTGATGCTAACCAAAGTAAGAATTAGCATTCTAGAAGAGAAGATAATAGCCTTTTCACTTGAATGCTTTACTGTTGTACTTTCCTAACAAGAACAGCAAAATGTGAAAGTAACCAGGCCAACCTATTATTTTGAGACGCATCGTGCAACCTGTTTTTCAGTCGTTGATAACAAATAAATCGATGTGGACCTTCAATATGAACTACTCTTTTATCAGGTATGACCCACCCGACAACAAAAACTTTCAATGATCTGAATTTATTTAAACCATTATCCAGTGGCTGAAAAACGAGCTGCACAGTATATCCAAAAATAATAGTTGTATTATGGGCCCGTCCATAAAAATAACCATATATTCTTCTAATAATATTGCATTTACATATATTTAACCTCAAAAACTATTACAAATCCAAATATTGCTAGTAAATAGTTCCATAAGCATAAATTCGTTATACCAGAAGATATAATCAGGTTAGTTGAAAATCCTTAGAAAAAAAAAAAGAACTGCCTACAAAATCAGATGAGGGCCATTGGAAAAATGCTTTGACATGCTAACCTCGAGTTGTTTTAGATCATCAAAGGTCATCATAGGGGCTGAATGTAGAGTGGCGAATTGGTATGACTTCAGAAAGTTGTAGTAGTTTGGCATGGTTTTGTAGTTGAAGAAAGCATTTGCAATGGCTCCAGGGTAGAGAAGAGTCTTCACTGCAACTTCAGGGATTAGTTTGGTGGCAATTAACTGAGAAGATGTCAACTCTAACGGTGTTCTACATATTCCAGCTCTACAAGGGGCCCTTTTTAGCAAAGAGAAAGATTCCAGTTAATGAGCAGTTAAAGAAATGAATAACCAAATTTATGCGTACTTCTAAAACCAAATTCAATCAATGTATGTCGATGCAATTTTTGACAAAAAAATAGTGCAACAATGGTATGTTTAATACTTTATTCTATTTTGTATTTTAATGCATAATGCTATTTCAAATGATCTAATTTTTCTTATAAATTTTGAGTTCTGGACCTGGTAAATAAATATTTCATTTCTAAATAATTTGACCATGATAATGTTATAATGATTAAGCAAAAAGGTTAGCACATCAATCAATGAATGACAAATTTGGTACCATGTTTAGCATTTTCAAAATATTAAGTATGACATTGTATTGAAACTTAATTATCTTGGCTAATTGTCAAACTTTTAGCATTGAATTAGAACCTAAATTACGACTAGTTTAATTTCAACCAAAGAACATGTAAGATTCCATCAAATTGTTGGCTTTTACCAGCCAAAAAAGTGAAAAGCAAATTGGTCCCAGTGTCGTTTTGGGTAAATTAATATACATAAAAGAACCAAAAGAACCCAATATAATATTGCAAGGAAAACCAGTATTTTAATGTCGCTTGACGAACAATAACTTGGTTTTAAATAAGGAAATAAATAACGGAATGAACAAATGGGTGTCATAATAGATTTTTCCATCCCAATATTAGACCTAGATCTACATTTGTTTGTTATTAAGAGATAAAGATAATGAGAAAGAAAGGTTAGGGGGGTTACCTGAAAAGAGGAATTTGAAGGATAATGACAAGAAAATATGTACAAGAAGCAAAGGAAGATATGGTGCTTGCCCATTTCTTTGAGGAAGCCATCACACTCAAATCTTGAAATTGAGAGTGCCCAATGGGGGAAAGGAAAATGGACAGCTGATAAAGCAAAGTTGTTTCTTTCAAATCACAAGTTGTTTGGGTCATTTTATTTTGGTCACAAAAAACGGCACTCTTTTTATTGATTTTCGTTGAGAAAATGACGCCTTTGTATTTCACTTTAACCCCCCGCGGGTATTATCCATCTGTTTTTTTTTTTTTTAAATTATTTTTTAAGCATTATCCATTTGAATTTGGTCCCTAAGTAACGAATGGTTTTCGAATTCATTAAAAAAAAAAAAAAAATACTGAGAGAGCGTTTAAAATTCGTTCTAAAATGATTTTATTTTTTATATAAAAATAAAAATAAAAACGTTTTTAATTTTAGACAGAAATTATTTTTAAAAATGCGTTTGGTAGTTTTATCAAGAAATTATTTTCAGTGTAAAAAAATTTAATAATATTTTTCTTTCTCTCTTTCTGCTCAGGAGAGGAGAAAATGAAAATAAAAAGTGAAAAATGACAAAATCTTTTTTCATTTCTCTCTCATTTTACACTAAATTAAAAAATTATTTTTATTTTTATTTTTTGTCTTTATTACGTCAAACGCCGTTTTAGAAACGTTTTCATTTTTTTCTCAAAAAAAGTGAAAAATAAAAACGGGATCAATTCTAAACACGGCCTAATAATTTTTCAGAGCCAAACGACAATAAAAGAAAGCGAGCTGAAACGACATTCTAGTTCCTCAAAGTTTTACAGCGAAGAGATTTTGGATATCCCCTCAAAAAAAAAAAAAAAAAAAAAAAAAGATTTTGGATACATGTTACATGTAGACATAGACACATCATACATCACCATAAAAGATTTTAATTTATCTCAACTTTAATTTTTTTATTTTTTGTGTGTCCGCAAAGGACCACAGCCAAAGTACAGAAAGGAAAATTTGTTGGTTTGTCACCACCCCAACTTCAAAATATTGAAGGAATCCAAGTGATACTGAAATGTAAATCACGACACAGGTCTCACAGAGAATTGCAGATCTTAAGATAAATAAAAACCCAGAAGAGCTAATAAATGATTTAATTGATCTTAGCTATCTGACACAAGAATAAGATGTTCCCGATCCGTCCAATTATCAAAAAAAAAGAAAAGTTCCCGATCCTATGCAATAGAATACGCTTTATGCTGCAAAACATTATGCAAAACGCATTGAATGGCGAATAGTTTAGTCTCAGATATGTATCTTTTTTTCATCTTTGGTTTTTTTTTTTAATTATTTTAAAGAACATCAAGATTAATATTTTTGGGAAACTAACAAATACTTTTTTTTTTTTAATTTTCACACAAAGAGTAGGGGTAAGACTCATGCTCGCACTAAGGAAAGTCCATTGCAGTCTCTACCTCTTGATGGGATTCGGGTTTGGGACAGCAATTCTTCTTCAGGATAACGATAACAACTAAATCCTATCCATATTTCGCCTTAATTTACAATGTAAGTGGCTGTAAAAGTCTCCAATTTAAGTTAATGATAGACATGATCATAATACCCATGTTTCAAAACAAGCCGTGTCATTATGCAAGCAAGTTGTCACTTTAGCCTGCTAACCTCACCTTATCCTTTAGTACAAAACTTTTGAACAAAGTTTTCACCCTTAGTACAGAAAATTCAACAACTCTAATTGGCTACCCTATAGATAAAAACATCATTACGCAATTAATTTAATGTAAAACCATCATGAGCATCTTATTCCATAGGAATGGACCACAAAAACTCAAAAAAAAAAAAAAGTGACAATTGCAAAGACTAAAGAGAGCGACCCCCAAAAGGTAAGAACAACTTTGTCCATTTTGGTGCATATTTGTTGCCCCTTGGATCCGTTCTCACTCGAAAGAACCACCCTTTAGTCCATTCCCTAACAGAAAAAAGGGACTGTTACAGTAGGATCTAATTAAAATTAAATAAAACTGAAAAAATATACAAAATAAATAATTTTTATATAAATTTAACGGTTAAAAATGACTGAAAAAAATAAAACTACCGTTAATTCTATTTTTATTATCCAAAACTCCTCACAGTAACCAAAAACCCCCCCAAAAAAAAAAAAAAAAAAAAAAAAAAAAAAAAAAAAAAAACACGAAAAAACTTCAATCAAACATTAAACAATTGACAGGCTCACATGTGGGTCAGCTCATATAGTTCCAAACATCACGTGGGTCTCACATCCCAAGGCCTATAGACCAAATAATTCACCACCAATTATTCATCAGCCACCACAGTCAACTATCTAGCTTACTACTCTTATTCTAATACTCGATCTTTACATTTTCTTACCACCACACCACGCCACGCCACGCAATGTGGAGTGACCTTCCCTTTGATCTCTTATCCAACATCTTCTCCTTCCTCTCCCCGGACTCTCTCGCCTGCGCCGCCTCGGCGTGTCGGCAGTGGCACGAGTGCGCAAAAACTCGACGTCGTCCGGCTTCAAATTCATATTTATCTAATTGGTTCGTGGCCTTGCCACTTCGCAGCCACAAAAAGGACAATCTTTCTTGCTATGCTCAAAACCCCACGAACAAAAACTGGCACTTTATCTTTCTAAACTTCTTACCATCCCCAATTAGGCCTCTCACCTCCATAAAAAGCCTCATCCTTTTCAAAACCACAAACCCCACTAATCTTCTCAATTTACTTGTTTGTAATCCATTCACAAGAGAATTCAAGAAACTTCCAATCTTGAGCACGCCAAGATCCAACCCGGCCATTGGCGTCATACCTCTGGGCGACGATGGCGGCTTCCAAGTCTACGTGGCGGGCGGAATGTCCGAGGCGCCACGTGGCGGGGCAACCTACGAGCCGACCATGGAAGTCTACGACTCCAGACACGACACGTGGCGGGTCGTCGGGCCGTTGCCGACGGAGTTCGCCGTGAGGCTTACCGTTTGGACGCCAAACGACAGCGTTTTCTGCGACGGCGTGGTGTACTGGATAACTTCTGCCCGGGCGTACAGCCTGATGGGGTGCGACATTTCGTCGAACAGCTGGCTGGAGCTGAGGGTGCCCATGGCGGAGAAGCTGGAGTTCGCGGCGGCGGTGCGGCGGAAGGGGAGGCTGGCGGTCGTCGGCGGCGGCGGGGCGTGCGGAGGGGGCGCGTGGGTGTGGGAGTTGGGCGAGGGAGATTCGTGGGTTTTGGTTGGGAAAGTGCCGGGTGAATTGGGCGTGAAGTTTGTTGGGGAAATGGGAAGGTGGGCTAGTACGAAGTGTGTGGGTTGTGATGGAGGGATTTACCTGTACAGAGAGGTTTTTGGGCCGGGAATGATTGCTTGGAAAGAGGTTGGAGAGAGTGGGGAATGGGAATGGTCTTGGATTGAAGGATGCTCTTTTGTTGGAGGGGAAAAAGTGCCACAAAACTTGCAAATGAAAGGAGTGCTTATTCCACCAAATCTTGCTCAATCGTGTTTCTTTTTAGGCAAATGAGACGGCTTTGTGAAAATGCGGGTCCTTTTGCTGCTTTTGTGTGTAAGAAAATTACTTGTAAATGATTCTTTTTTGAATTTTGGGGCGTAGGGATTCAAAGTCTTTATTTTTTTACGGTAAAGGTTATGTCTGCAATCACATATTGGATGTGCGTACTAGTTTGCAATCAACTCAGAGCCTAGTGTGTTGAGCAATGTAACCGCAAAGCCTCTACAACCAAGAGACTTCTAACTCCAACCTTGGAGCAAAGGCACGAAAACATTTTGTTATAGGCTTCTAACTATTCATCATACTCGGTGATGGATTTACTACTACATGTGTAACTGTTACAAGAGAAGATAAAAATTATTGAATTTCACGCTGTTATGTATTTCGGTCCACTAATATATATCAAATGTGTATATGTTACATGGTCATTACAGAAAGACTATGTTACCTATACCATATAAAAGTAAAAAATCTAACATAATATTTATTTAACGTAATATTAACGCTTAAAAGATATAAACACACGCAAAAAAGAATAATAATTATCCCATATTATTAGATCATCTCGATTCTCGAATGTAAATGTAATCTTAATGTTGTATTTAACACGAAAAAGACGAAAATGACATACAGTATATAATACTACTTCACATGTTGTAACCTACATAGATAGACCATAGCGAAGGCTTATGTAGTTATTATATCATGAATTGTGATGAAAAAGCAATTTTACTACCTTATTGTTATCATACTCACACAGTAACGAAGTCAGGAATTTTACTCAAAAAGACAAATAATTACAGTAAATATTTAACCAAAATAAATAGTTATTGGAAATACAATTGTCCCCAACGTGTTTCTATACTTAAAAAGGCAAACTTTATCATCAGCGCCATTGAATATGTCTTTTTTAATATGTACAAATAAAATTTCATTCATCCATTCATTTTTTTCATTCATTTTTTTATCAGCAAGATAAAAGGTGGAAAAACTTATGACAAATAACTTTGATACGTCCTAACAATATTAGTGCTTAAATTCGATTCGTTTGCACTGTCGATTATTAACAATATTCATATTATTAATATACTCTATCAACAATAAAAATAACAAGCATAAGTAATAAATGAAATAACAAACGAAACAAAACAAATAAAAGGTCATAGACATTCTACAATCACGTCTAATTGATTACTTATTATTATGCTCTATTTTTTTCTGTCTAAAAGCATTATGAGGCATAATTTATACGCTCTTTCCAATAAATTATTGTGTAGGCTTTATTTTTTATTTTTTTTTTAAAAAGGCTATGTACACAAGTAAAAAAGAACAAGAAAATGAGAGGACAAAAAAAACAAAGAGTGCGTCTATTCACACCTTTTTTATTCATCAATTATGATTCGTAAAAACAACACTCGTCATATTTTGCAGAATGTTTTTTGACCGTTAGAAAATAACCGCTGTTGCCTGACATTGAAAATAAGCAATTGAGCCATGAGTTTTCGACCGCTTTACCTTGATCTCATACTTCACTGTTGCCTTACTTTCCTTTATTCATATTTTGCAGAATGTTGATTTGGATATGCTGGGTTTTTTTTTTTTTTTTTTTTTTTCAATTCAACTTTTGATGCTTTCATCATTAGTTCTAAAATATTCATGATTCATAAAAAAAATTTAAAGAAAAAGATTCGTAAAAGAGCGGCCGGTATGTGGACTTCATTATAATTGAATGTGGAAATTGGAATTTTTATTTTTTGGGTTGCATACGTCTACTACTCTGTAGCGTAATGTTCTTATAAATCAAATTTTCTTCCAAAAAAAAAAAAAACACTTCAATTTCATATATATTAAAAAAAAGAAAAGGATAAGTTTGATTGGGGGAGGTTGGAAAAAAAAAAAAAAAAAACAAGACTTTTTTGAAATTTTAGAGGATCTAACAAATAGAATGAATGTGGTATAAGAATGTATGTAAAACGTAAAATTGAAGTGATTTAATTGTAAAGATTTTTTTAAAATTTTAAAACAGATGTAACAAGTAAAATGAAAAATGTTTTAAGAACGTGTATGAAAAATAAAAAAAAAAATGTCAATATAAAAACAAATAGACTTACTTCAAATAAATAATTCAAGCTATTGTTGAAGGGGAAAAGATCTTGTTAAGTACTTCCAGACATTATTTAGTTTTAATTTAAAGCATTATTTTTCAATTTTTAGAAGAAAGAAATACGGTAGGGTGAGTTATTTGTCCCTACCGGTATAGTAAATTCAAACGGTTAATATTAAATCTCAGAGAGGCTCTACATAGTCTTTTTCACTCCAGATTATAGCCAAAACACAATTTAAAAAAAAAAAAAAAAAACAAGATTGAACATGAACATGTCCTTTCCCTTGCGACCCATCGACGCAGTCGTCCTCTCCAATGACCTGCCCCTATCATGCCCAACCACCATGGTTGTCAGCCTCCGACGAGCCCAGCTCTGTCCCGCCTAGTTTCGACGAGATTCTAAAATGGATTGGAACGGATCATGTGGATTAGCATCTTTGGAAAACATGAAAACCAAGAAAAAAAAATCATTTGCGGCATCTTCGGCCAGAGACAACCCATAATCTAACTTCAAACCATTAAAGACTCGTTCGTTTCACCGTTCAAGTTTTATTACAGTATAAAACTCTCAAATATAGTTACATTTAATCTTTTTATTATAATAAAAAATTTTCACACAAAATCATATCTTAATTCAAATTAACAAAATAAATAGACCATAAATTATCTTACAATCCAAAATTCCTAAACTCAGGTGATCTAAAATCAAGATATTGCAAAAACTGAGTAATTTTCATTAATTAAATAATGATATACAGAAGGATATATAACCAAGTCAGAAACTTGTTGAACAAGTTGTTCATATACTTAACAAACTAACTTGTTGAGCTTGCTGAGCAAGTAACTTTTCTAACTAACTCTAAAACAAGGAGATTTCCAAATCCACTATTCTTTAAAAGATGCTTTCTTTTTTCTTCTTCCCCAAACACATCTTCTATGTTCTCGTATCAAATAAAATATTTTGATTAAAAGGCAGTAATAACATTATACAATTTTCATAAATCATTAACAACAATAGGGGAATAATCAAAGACTAGATAGAGATTTATTTTTGAAGAACTTTGGAGGATTTTTTCACTAAGTTTTATTTATTTTATTGATTTAAATTTTTAATTTTAAGTTTTTATAGTTAAATTTTTTTAAAAAATATCACATTTAATATTTTTTATTATAATTAAAAATTTTTAAAAAAATTTCATATTTTAACTTAAATTAAAAATTTAAATTCGTAAAATGAAAGAGGACTAACCAAACAACTTCACATATTAATTTTTCATCTCAAACACATCGATTCCCAGTTCTTCACCACATTCAATCTTCTGACGAACGGGTAACAATTGAAGAAGTGAAATTCTAGAGCTGCAACAGAATCCCTATCCACGCCAAATCAACCCAACCGACATAAATCCTCTGCTCTTCCTCCCTTTAATCCGAGGTTCCTTTGACGAAATCGGTGAGATCGTCGCTGATCCCGTACTTGAGGAGGTCCAACGGCAAGACCTCTGGCATCGAGGAAGACGAAAGGTGACGATGATTGACGGGAAATGGCGCCAAAGGAGGAAAGGGAGGACTTAATCTGATCTGGGTGGTACCGTCGTTGTCGAAGACGCGCTATCGGAGGAGAGGCAAAATGGTGCTGTCTTCGGCCATCCCTGTGGGGGAAGAGGGCCCTTCGTCGGAGAAACTTGGAAGGCAACATGGAGTTGACTTGAGGAAACCCTTTTTTTTTTAAGAGACTTGAGGAACGACTTGATGAGATGCGGTGGTCTTCATTTTTGTTTTCATGGGATTGTTTATTTTGGGCCATTCATTTTTAATCCGAGGGTGTTTATGATTTCACCCTACTGGTAGAAAAAAAAATACACGCCCTTATAAATTTTATATAAATATATAAAAATATAAATAAACAAATGTGGGTGGGGGGTGGGGAGGGGCCTAAGCCCCTGCCTTTATGGCCCTGTTTGTTACCGTTTTCAATCTCATTTTTCACATTTTTCGAAGCAAAAAATTAAAAATGCGTTTGGCGAAAGTTTTTTTAAAAAACAAAAACAAAACTGTTTTTGTCGTTTTGTGAAATTTTGAAAACGAAAAAAAGTTGTTTTCATTTTCTCGTTTTCGTTTTCTGAAAACGGATTTCATATTTTCTTTTTCATTTTCTTCTCTCTCTTCTCCACTGCCCACCACCCTCGACTGCACCCCCCTCCCCCACTCCGACATCGTGATCTGGTTTGTGAACGGTCATCTTCTCCAGCGACGGCGTTCTTCTTGCTCGCGAACGGTTGTCAGAATGGCGATCTTGAACGATGGCTGAATGAGAAGATTGCGAGGAGATCCCGACGTGGATCACGAGGAGATCGCGACAATGGCTCCAAATTGCGAGAGACGTCACCGGAGATTCCCTCGCTCGGTGGCTATCGTCAGTCGTCGGAAGCCGCCGCCGTCACTAATCGTGGCTGCATCTGATTACGGAGAGAGAAGAAGGGGCGGGGAGAGAGAGAGAGAGATGCGGGAGATGAAGGAGCACATCTCCGACTGCCCACCCCCCCCCCCCCCACCATCAA